TAGCAAATAAACTTTTCGAAAATATATATTTAACTCACCGATATAGCTTCTTATTTATACACAACGTTTCTTTCAAGCTTCGTGACAAGCTATAAAACGTCAAGACTCTACGCAAATCCCAAACTTATGAGTGACTTAAATGTAACGTAGAGGAATGCTTTTATATTCAAATTCGTCCTATAATAGGTTTAGCCTTGCTTTCTCAACTTGAGAAACTTAAAAGAATATGCTCCACCGCCATTGTCATCATGACTTATTTCGGAGGGAATAGTTGACTGGGTACATTTAAAGCAATTGACGTAATTAATGGCCTTCGTAACGGACCGCTTGTTCAATAGCGTTAATCTGTATCAAAGCGTCCAAGTTGCCATTCTCAGAATACGGAATATCGGGATTCTCATTGCTGACGTGCCTAAAACGCAAGGAAAAGTACAATTACGGGTATGCATTTGTTTGGATGTTCGAGACTTTAAGTTGAATGAGTAGGTTCAGCCAGGAGTCATGTTAGGGCACCTCACGGATGCAAAGCATAATAATTAGGCTGCCCACGGTTTGATGACGAGCAAGATTAGTTGTATCGTCAGATTGACCCTAAGCCAGTGGTTCCCAAACTTCTCCTAGTCACGGCGCCCTTTTTCAATTAAAATTTTCCCATGGTGCCCTACCCTAAGTATGACTATTCGTGAGAGATAAAAATAAATAAAACTCGTATATCTCCATTATTTTTTTTACTTTATTAAAATTAAATTAATATTTAATAATTAATGCGATGGATGAGCCTGCAAATCACTTCACGTTTTCTCAAATTGAAGCTCTTACAATATTTCGCGGCGTCCCTGTAAAGAAGCCCTACTATCCCGACTTCCTTAAAAGCTTATGAAAGCTTATTTGTTCCATCACTAAGCTCGTAATGGCTAACCCACAAAGTCTGTTTTCTAATGAATTATGAGGCATATGTGACCCTTAATTCACACTTGTAGTGGGTTTGAAATCGCTCCATTTTGGAGTGGGTGACAGAATAGGCTGCAACTAATTTTCTCTACTTATAATGGAAATTTCACCATCAAATAATTATCTGCCTTATTGACGCTAATCCTTGATACAAATGTGAATTGGTGGAGGCCGAGTTTGCTTGATATACTATGGTTCTGGTGATTTAATGACACCGGGGTAGTGTGGACGAGAGAAAAATAGTTGCCTTTTGACGTGACAGATTCAGACCATTTTTGAGGCATTTGCGAAATTGGTGAATTTTGATAAATATAGCACAGTGAAATTTCTAGCCGTTAGTAAATAGTAAATAGACAATCCATTACGTGACTAGATCAGCACACACAAACAATATCAAAATAATTACACTGGAAGATGGCTAAGAATTTAATCCAGATTAATATTACAAGTCATCTAACAATTCACATGTGTAGCATGAATTAGCGTCTGAAAAAAGTCTGTGAATCAATAATAGATTAATCACTGGATTATTATTATTATATTCTGCCTACTATAATGCATCAAACTGACTCCACCCGAAAGATTAATAGCAGATCCAAACAGCTTCATTATGAAGACTGGAGTGCTTCATAGGTCTTCACTTTCTACTCACTATCCGAACGAAGATTGAGCTATGCATTCTAAGGGTGAAAAGGCAATATTGGGATGCATAAAACCTGGATGTTTTCTAAATTAAATTTTGTTAATTATTTCCTTTTGCTTATCGATGATTGAAAACAGCTTAAACGAGTTGGGGGTTACAGACAACTTTGGGGAATACAAGAGTTCAAATAATGAAAATGTATTATAATACTGTGGACAGTATATGTAATGCATCGGCACAAGAATCCTCAATAAAGTTGTGCAAAAACTATGTCGGAGAATTTTGCCTCATGCTTTATTGTGTCTAGTAAATTCTAACTAGAAAAATAGTTTAATCGAAGATATGTATACCAAGATGGAGTGGCCTTTTGTATGGTCGCAGTCTACTTTCGTTGTATAGAAGTTGTTTAACTTTATTCTCGCAACTTGATCGGATTGGTTAGAAGACCTATAGATACGCATCTAGTCCGAAGTCCATATTATGCATGATTATTTGCAGAGTCGGACCGTGGGCGTCGTGCATTCCCAGACGTTTCGCCGGTATCGTAGTAGGCACCGTCAGTGAGTATTGCTAGTCTTAGCATCAACATACAATTCGTCAAAGAGACAAGTGAAACCGATTCTTTGACCAATTATCTGCTAACTAGTTGTGTTATCTCTCCTTCTGCCCTGGGCTATTCACCAATCCTATGTCATCCTATCATACCTTCACTATCACAATTTTTTAATTTCTTATTCAAATGTGGTATGGTGTGCCTTTTAGAGCTGATTTTATGAGAAATTTTCACACCCCACACTGGCTTTCTCACCCCTGTGCTAAGAATTTTGATCAGAGTCTGATTTATTATTCCGCAATCCCCTTCCCATATGTTTTATCAGAGTCTTCCTCTTGTCCAGTAGGATCCGTCTCCTACCCTTCTGGTTCAGGTATCTCACTCGACCCCTGCCCCCCTATCTGTACTACTCGAAGCGGTATTTTCAACATTGTCTCAAGCCTTTGATTATACGCATACTCTTGCCTCTCTGAGTAGGTCCATAAGAATCAGGATTCTAAAGCTGTATGGGAATCTAACTTGAGGCGGAAGAGCTCAAATAATTCTCACGGTCAAGCCCTTGCTTCATGAACCACGTTAATGGGAAGAGGATTGCGCAGACTCTGATCAACACTTCCAGCACAACGGTGAAGAGGGATGAGAGGGTGAGAAAGCCACCGTGAGGTGTGGAGATCTCTTATGAATTCAGCGCATAAGTTCACACCATACCACATTTAAATAAGCAATTTAGACATTGTAATAATGAAGGTGTGATACGAGAATATAGGATTGGTGAATATCCCAGGGCAGGAGAGATACCACAACTGTTTAGCAGACAATTGGTCAAAGAATCGGCCTCACTTGTCTCTTTATGAGTTGTAATGTGATGCTAAGCCTGGCAAGGCCCATTGACGATGCCGACTACGATGCCGGCGAAAATTCTGGGAATGTACCACGTTCACTGTCCGACTCTGGAAAGTATCATGTATACTACGGACTCCGTACTTCGTGCGTTCCTCTAGGTCTTCGTACAAATACAAGCAAATTGCGAAAACAAGGTCAAACAACTTCTAGAAAAATCGTGCTTTCATATTAGTTTATATTGAAGTTACTCGTCTCTTTAATAATATTTGGTCATTAACCTCGGTCGATAATCCCCCTCGTTTGCTCTTTTAGATAAAGGGAGCACCCAGACCTAAGCCCTATCCTTTTACAATGGACAGCGAGTCTGAATTCACTTATCAGTTCTTTGTATGCGGACTTTTACTTGAGCATAACTGAAGAAGATGGCTGAGCTTTACACGTAATAACTGTTTTGAGTTAAGGCTGTTTCAAGGATATGAGGATCACTTTCTATACTTATGCTTTATTATTCTAGGAATTATGAGTAAACGCGTTGTTTTGAGGTAGATTAAATGAAATTATTTTTCCTCATTTTTTTCTTGTTTGAAAAGCTGATTCCACACTACATGTAGTGTAGATCAATTCATATTAAAAATATTTTTCCCATAAAGTTATGGAAGTTTTTACGGGGGTGTCCTGATAGAGGAGACAGTCATTTGGAAATCTCAAGATTTGCTGTAAAAGACACTCGTTTACTGCCATTTGCTGTGGTTTAAAGTACGTAAGGCTGGGTTCTCTACATGAGGTACTAGACTCAGTCGTTTCAAGAATATAGGCGTTATCACAGCAACGAATCCAAGATTTGACTCAAAATTCTTGCGGTCTGATTTTCGAGATTTGCGACAATAATTATCCCATTAAGAGCAATTTTCGGTAAAGTTAGGCATTTATTAAGCATTTGTGGAAAGATCAGGCAGATTATGTGCCATTATGATATACGTCAAGTAGATCAATCGGGATTACTTACCGCTTCACCCTTCTTTTGCCATTACCTGCTTCAGATTTCATGTCAGCCATGGCCTCACAGCTTCTGCGGCACCGGATGTATGAAAATTCCTCTGGCCCGGGTCAGATAGCTTGCAATGAAACAGGTGAGTTTGGCAGTGCAGCTAGCACCTACGACCTTCAGGCGCTAATGGCTGGAATCGTTGCTGGCGATTGTTTATCCGCCCAGGTAGACAATGGCGTGGGAGTTGGTGGTAGTGGCCCTGGAGGCGAAGAAGCTCTCGCATATGGTGCGTTTAGTCTATGTACCTCCTCGCCGGATAGACCAAACCCGGCCCATAGGCCTCAGAACTTTTTTTCTCTTGGTCCAGGCTCGCTTCCATCATTGCCTACCACTGCGACGTCAAGCGGGCTGGATGATACCCTCTACCCTCCCCTTGAACTGTTGTACCGTCGTCAAAGACACGCTTCCAATGGATCCTCTTCACCATCACCACCGCCTTCTACCTCGATGATCTCAGAGGAGCCCCAATTAGACTCCAGCCTTCCAATGTCTTTTGGAGTGGCGAAGTCAGTTATGCTGGCGACGACAGCTGCATCAGTGGTCAGTTCTGCATCGTCAAGCTCGAATCAGGAAAATAATTTGGCGACAGGTGACATGTTTACTACCTGTCCATCTACCAGTCCTGCAAGTATTGGACAACCTAGAGACGTGTATTCGGCAAATTCCATAAATCAAAGTCAATCATCCCGGTGTCCTGCAGGTTCCGGTGTAAGTGGAATCAAGAGGTCCGGAACAAGAAGATACTTAAACCATTCATCATCTCCACCCCAGACTGTCGCCACACACTTAGGCGCCCATTGTCTTGACTCCCTTTCTCATAATCAACAGCAAAAGATATTCCAGAACCCCCTTCAGGCCATCAATGCACTTCAAATGTTGCAAAATATAATCGCCGTCGCCCAACCCGGAGGCAGTCTGCCCGTCCCGGCGGCTGCTGCTGCTGCAGTAGCAGCAACCGCGACTCGTCTTAACCACTGCTTGCCACTTAACTCTTTTGCGCCTGGTCCAGGCGACCTCTCGGGTTCTCGTCAGGATTCGAACCAGTTGGAATCCACAATTTCCCCCTCCTCATCCAGCCCCTCAATTACCACCAGTAATTTGCCAGCTGACTCCATAACGTCATGGGCAAATAATGGCCTAGTTTCAGGGTCTAGACTAATGGGGCAAGACGAAAAAACCAACCCTGGACTCCACGTAGCATTGACCCCTATCGGAATCCCGACCCGCGCTGTGGAGGCTATGACGACTAAGCAGAATAACTTAGATGAGGCTCTACTGCAAACAGGGGGTCCTAACGTTGCGGCGGTAGCGGCAATGATGATGACGATGATGATGTCTTCATCAGCTCCTGGGCTTGTGACAGGGAATGCATTTTCTGCCATATCCACCCACAATACGGCAGAGACAAGAGCACCGACTATCTCTAGTGACAGCAGTACCTGCAAGACACCAAATTCCGGATCATTTTTGCCTGACTGTGGAACCGTGATATCACATGGCGGGTTGGGCTCTTCTACTTCGCCAATTGGCCTTCCAAGCTTAGGTGCTGGATCCTCTTGTCTTCCAATGATGATTAATACTTTTTTAAGAGGGAACTCGAAACCCCAGAGTTACTCGTTCGGATTCGATTCGGCTCAAGCAGATACCATACGAATTGGGGCTCCCGGACTGTTTACAAGTCGGTCAAGTGACGAATCTGCGCCGGTACTAAACGGTGGCTTGACTTCGTCCGTTACATCT